TAAACTAATGCAGATTTCATCTACTCTGCCCAGAAGGTCAGCAGCCCTTCAGGCTGGGGTCTGCTTCTCCTGGAAAAGAACCCCGCTGCTCCATGCCCCATACCATTTATGCAGCCACCTACTGGACATCTAAATTCTACAATCAAATCTGCTAGAAGGCAGGGGCAAGCAGCTGAGCCTGCAGCCAGTGAGACCCAGAACAGCCAAAAATAATCATACACCACTCTGTTGACTCCAAAGGAGCTAAAGAACTAAATTTGAACCTCTCTAGCATCCTGTTCTAGGTGGGTGCTACAATTATGTATAAGGAAGGTCCATCTGTTAGTGGGAAGAAACCAGGTAGCTCACTTTACATATTGCCACACCAGTATATTTACTGGAAAAGTGAGAAATAACTAAATAATATTTCAATCTGGTGAGCTCTCAACTTCACTTTGACAAAAGGCAGGCTGATCAATATTGATTATGAATGTATTTATTTGTCTCTATGGAGACATTTTGACCCAAATGAAGAGGAAATACACCGCTATGAACATTAAACACATCTGTGATCAAGACTGATCTGTCTTCCTTCTCTCATTGAGGTTTGCCTCTCAGACGTGAGTACTCACTATATTATTTTTTATACATGAATGGAAGAATGGAAGGTGTTTTCACCCTCTAAGAAGGGCCTAAGGATTGCAAGTGATTCTTAAAGTAGTGTTCTTTGCAAATGTGCATTTGTGTACAAGGAAGACGTTTCAGAAGAAGTAATAATGTACAGTACTTACAGATGTAACACCTTCTAGCTTTGCCAGAGAGAGCCTGTTTTATTTTTTTTAGACAGAGGCTGATTAGCAGCCTGGCATAAGTCAGCCTGGGGAGTGAGGTAGAGAGGTTGCCTCAGGGAAGACTAGAAGGGTCTAATAGGCCAGGGATTCTGGAGCCCTCCCACTCTTCCAGAAACGTAGAGAACTTTCTGAAACGGGTGGGGAAGGGGATGAGGCCCAGATCTGCATGTTTGAGGGACCCTGACCACTGTACCACCGTCTCCAAGAGAGGACATCCTGAGCAGCAGGGAAGGATCCAGCCCAGCGAATGTCCTGAAGGCAGCCACTAACACATTAGCTATCAGGAGAGGACAGTGTGAGTACTCTTACACCCCCTGGGCCAGATAAGGGGAGAGGACAGTCAGGTAGAAAACCCAACTAGCTTCTCATTCAGGGCTGCTTTGTTGAATTGGCAGTTTCTGGGCCCCCTTGCCCAGAGAATATCCTCTGTGCAGCTGAGTGAAGAGGAGGATTCATTTGGGGTACACTAGAGAGCTGGAATGCTCTTAAAGAAGAGACTATGTTGTCCACATCTATATATACTGCAGTTGCTAAGGAGTTTGTCCTCAAGTTTGCAGTTTCCTTTGACATCAACCCCATCCAAGTTATTAACCCCTTTTTAAAAAAAAATCACAAAACCAGGCTCAAGCACTGTTTACTGACTGAGTGCAAAGTGTGGAAGAAAATGCATGTTACCAGGCTGTGCAGAGCTTTAGGGGGACCCAAAACTCAGTGACTCCTAAGGGGCTAGTACTATACAGTATTTACAGAATAGAAACATCAGTAAAGGTATATTATAATTTTAATTGTAGTTGATTAATTTTCAAAATTCGTTTGGTGGAATCGAAGGCCTTATTCAGCTGTCACAAGTTTCAGGTAAACCCAGGGGCGGACTGACCATTTAGGCACTTGGGCACTGCTCGAGGGCCCAGGGTCAGTAGGGGGTCCCATGAGATGCCCCTGGTACCTTTCATAGGCTTTCTTGGGTGTGGTTTGAGTGTGGGCGAGGACACAGGGGCCCCATGATTTCTTATTGCCCGGGGCCCCATGAGTTGTCAGTCCGCTGGACTTCCAATTTTGCTGGTATACAGGAGCACACTGCAGACTTCATGTTAATACTACAAAAACCACAGTTCTCAACATTTTTCTTCATGTGGAATTGGTTTCTTTACCATTGGTTGACTTCAGCACCTGATTACTTAGCCATTTGGTTAACCACCCATTAGAATTTCCTAATTCTCAGCCAACTATTATTCCCTCAGACACACTATCACTTTTTTTGTGCAAAATTGTTTCTCTTCTCTTTCCTGGATTAGTTGTGTCAATGCTGTTAAATGTTACGGTAATTCGTCCAAAACTCTTTTATTATTTCCGAACCCTACCAGTCCAGGTCTGTCTTTTCTTATGGCTTTTGCAGAACTAAATTCGGTCATTTATGTGGCCTATAAATGACCGCGGATCTCTCACTCCACTTCTTACACACAAAGATTGCAAGGAGGACTAGGTGTTCCTAACATTGCTAAGTATTACCAAACAGCACAAATCTCACAACTCACCCTACTACAGCTACAACAGATACTCCCCTCTGGGTATTCCTAGTACTCCCGAACTGTGATTCCATTTCTGTCTTGGCCCTTTTATGGCTTCCTCCAAAATCTTGTCTTCCCTCCTTGAGCCTGCTTTATGCAGCATAGCTTAAAGTTGTGGGATTCCATCCATTATCCTGGGAACTTGATGTCTCCATTCCTCCACCTCTTAATGATCTGTTGTGTCTCCCTGGTTGGGAACAGGCACACATGTTCTCATGATGGCATACCCATGGATTTACACATGTTCATCATCCGCATTTCTTACACTTTTCCTTCTTGGGCTTCATTCCAGAAACACCATCATGCTCACATCCCAGAAAGCACTACCAATACTTTCAAATTCAACACTGGATTCAGACCCTGTGTAAACTGTCATATTTTCCATTCCAGATAATTGTTTCTGAACATTAGGTGCAGCACAGCAGCTAAATGGTGAGCACTTTCACCAGTACAAGGGTTATTGGTTGACATATCAATCATGGCACCACCTGACTGGAGTTTGCCTGTTCTCCCTGTGCCTGCGTGGCTTTCCTCTGGGTATTCTGGTTTCCTCCCAACACTCCAAAGACATGCTGGTAGGTTAATTGGATCCTGTCTAAATTGGCCCTAGTATGTGTATGTATGAATGTGAGTTAGGGACCTTAGATTGTACACTCTTTGTGGGTTAGGAACTGATGTGAATGTACAATATATATAGATATATCTATATATAGATATATATATGTAAAATGCTGCGTAAATTGATGGCGCTAATTAAAGAACCTGAAATAAACACATTTTACTCTATTCTTCTGAATTACTGAGGTTTATCTCTATTCTCTACATTTCCCTAAACTCGCGTGGCCACTTATCCTCTTTGTCATATATGGGCTCCATAACCCCATGAAACTAGAGAACTGGAGCAAGGTCTGGTCGACTGTAGTGATGTGTTCATCCAATACACATACAGTACTTTAGAATACATACAGTATATAAGGTTCTGTTCAGGTGGTATTGGGTTCCAGCCTGTGCCAGATCCAACCATGATGACAGGTGTTTCAGGGGTTGCGGTCAACATGGGGATATACTTCACACATGGAGATCCTGCTCCAAATTAACTGCTTTTTGGTCTTGAACATTTGGGATACTCCAAACGCTATTCCATGTTAGGGTTCCTAAGGACACGAAACTGTCCCTCCTACATCAACCCATACCAGACTTCTTCCCACACCAGCAGAAGACTGACATATACATATTTATAGCTGCTAAACAGTCAATGGCCAGAGCATGAAAAAAACCCTCTCTACCCTTTCAGGCAGACATTTTTGTTAACTTAAAATTGACCAGCATCCTCAAGGACACCCAAACTAAATTTCTTAAAGCATGGGAGCCATGGCCTAACTACGTTTTACCTACCTTGAATTCTGTGAGCCTAGCCAATTTCTAAGGTCTATGTTTGGTCATATGGTTTGTTTTTCTAGCCTGTGGGGATTATACTCCCTGTTATTTCCTGCCTGCTTTCCCACTTGGCTTTCTTTCCATTTTCCCTTTCCCCCTCTTTCTAAGTGATTTTTAATTGTAAGTTATCTTCTGTTTCTACCATATTCTGCCATGGGGTACTTATGGAGAGATCCTCCCAGAGAACTAGCTACTGTTTACATTTTGCTCATTTACTGGCCACAGTTTTGTACAGGGATGTAGATAAGGGGGGGGGGGGGGTCAGGGTGGTTCAACCCCCCCCAGAGTACCCTGCCAAAAATCAACTTAATGGTGTCCCTGCTGTGTTGCTTGTCACTGGTGCCATGTGTTGCTGGCAGTAGAGCAGGGACCCCGTGCAGTTGATTTCCTGGACTGGCCTCGCCACCTCAGCGGTGTGAAGCTGTCAACGGCATGTGTGCAGGGCAAGCACTCACCCTGTTTATACCGCCATGACACCCTGCCCACTAGGTGGGCCGTGCTGTCAGGCTTGGGTTGGGCGGTCTGAGGGAGGCTGACTGTGACACGAGGCAGCAGCACAGAGCAGTGCGGGAGTGGCCATCGTCTGTCCTGCCCACCTCTCTATTACTATTGGCTCCTTGCAGTTCCTCTGCTTGGGGGAGGAGCTTTGGGGGAAGAGCTCGAGAGTGCAGGATGCTTGCTGTGTATCTGCTGGACTGGCGGGCCCACCATGTGGATGAAGTGGTGGTTGCTGCTCTCCTTTCCAGTCCAGGTGTTCCCTCTTTCTCTTGTGTTCTCCTCAGGCTAGCTTACTACTGCTGTGCTGCTGGTGAATTTCTTCTGTTCCTTCAAACTAGATAATTAGAGCCTGAGAGATTGTGTGGCTGTGAAAACTGGCAAAGTTGATGATTGAGCCTCCATTGCTGGTGGGTTAGGTCCTGTTCACATCTAGCGATTTGTGGGCAGAATCGCTGTGACATGTTTGTAGTATGTTTGCAGTCTCTGACCATCTCCTGTAGTAGGTCTGCAGTCTCTGACCATCTCCTGTAGTAGGTCTGCAGTCTCTCACCATTTCCCGTAGTAGGTCTACAGTCTCTGAACATGTCCTGTAGTAGGTCCACAGTCTCTGACCATCTCTTGTAGTAGGTCCTAAGTCTCTGACCATATCATGTAGTAGGTAAGAAGTCTCTGACCATCTCCTGTAGTATGCCTTCTGTCTCTGACCATCTCCTGTAGTATGCCTGCAGTCTCTGACCATCTCTTGTAGTAGGTCCGCAGTCTCTGACCATCTCTTGTAGTAGGTCCGCAGTCTCTGACCATCTCTTGTAGTAGGTCCGCAGTCTCTGACCATCTCCTGTAGTAGGTCCGCAGCCTCTGGTCATCTCTTGTAGTAGGTCCTCAGCCTCTGACCATCTCTTGTAGTAGGTCCTCAGCCTCTGACCATCTCCTGTAATAGGTAAGCAGTCTGTGACCATCTCCTGTAGTATGCCTGCAGTCTGTGACCATCTCCTGTAGTATGCCTTCAGTCTCTGACCATCTCCTGTAGTATGTCCGCAGTCTCTGATCACCAACTGTAGTAGGTCCTCAGTCTCTGACCATTTCCTGTAGCAGGTCCTCAGTCTCTGACCATCATTCCTATCATGTTTGCAGTCTCTGATCATCTCCCGTAGCAGGTCCACATTCTCTGACCATCTCCCATAGAAGGTCCTCAGTCTCTGACCAGATCCCATAGTAGGTCCGCAGTCTCTAATCACCTTTAGTAGTAGTTCCGCAGTCTCTGACCATCACCTGTAGTAGGTCCTCAGTCTCTGACCATCTCCTGTAGTAGGTCCTCAGTCTCTGCCCATCTCCTGTAGTAGGGTCTCAGTCTCTGACCATCTCCTGTAGTAGGTCCTCAGTCTCTGACCATCTCCTGTAGTAGGTCCTCAGTCTCTGACCATCTCCTGTAGTAGGTCCTCAGTCTCTGACCATCTCCTGTAGTAGGTCCTCAGTCTCTGACCATCTCCTGTATTAGGTCCTCAGTCTCTGACCATCTCCTGTAGTAGGTCCTCAGTCTCTGACCATCTCCTGTAGTAGGTCCTCAGTCTCTGACCATCTCCTGTAATAGGTAAGCAGTCCATGATCATCTCCTGTAGTATGTCTGCAGTCTCTGACCATCTCCTGTAGTATGCATGCAGTTTCTGACCATATCCTGTAGTATGTCTGCAGTCTCTGACCATCTCCTGTAGTATGTCTGCAGTCTCTGACCATCTTCCTTATCATGTCTGCAATCTCTGACCATCTCCCGTAGCAGGTCCACAGTCTCTGACCATCTCCGGAAGCAGGTCCTCAGTCTCTGACCATCTCCGGAAGCAGGTCCTCAGTCTCTGACCATATCCTGTAGTAGGTCTGTAGTCTCTGACCATCTCCTGTAGTTGGTCCGCAGTCTCTGACCACCTCCTGTAGTATGTCTGCAGTCTCTGACCATCTTCCCTATTATGATTGCAGTCTCTGACCATTTCCTGTAGTATGCCTGCAGTCTCTGACCATCTGTAGTAGATCTGCAGTCTCTGACTTCAGTACCACATCTCCTGTCCTGGATGCTGGGTGTAATTATCGGTATCTCCTCTTAATCTGTATATATGGACTCTGCACAGTCCAACTTCTCTCAGGGATCATGCACATTGCTAAAAAAAATACAGGTTTTTATCAGCTGTGTCCAGGCTTGGACATCTATCCCCAACTGCAGGTAACTGCTTTGTGTGTGACTACATGCGAACAGTGGCAACCGCTGTCAGCCTGTCATTAGTTTAAATGGGCTAATCAACTGCTGCTATTTGCATGCCCGGTCATTGCAGTCGCATGAAGCCGCTGGTTCTACCCTTGGAATTCAGTGGCTGCATGTAAATAGCTGCATGAAGGAGGCTTTAGTTTGAATGGCTTATAAATCGCCCACCCCAATGTAGTGGCCTTGGCAATGCTCAGATAAGGCTGCACAGTAAGGATGGCTCGGCTATTATCATGTCTTAGGCCGGGTTCACACATACTGCAGTGACTTGTGTTTTACTGCTTTGAATGAACACAGGTCACTGCTAGGACACACAGAAACCAATTGTGTTCTGTGTGTCCTGTTCACACTGCAGCATGGCTCAGAGGTACAGTGCAGTGAGCTGTGCTGCATTTTATCGCAGTGCACAGGATGGTGCCACATGTCACCACACAGCAGCACAAAGCACCCTGTTGCTGTGCTGTGACATGAATGAAGAATTACTTTGTCATATTTTATTTTATTAAAACATTTTTTACCTGGCACCTGCCACTGAACCCCCCCACCCCCCAGAACAAAAAATGATCTACGGCCCTGATTTTGTAACCCACAGACAATTTTCTGTGACTCCATAGTCTATTAGTAGGCATGCTTTTTGCTGTTACTTTCTTTCTAAAATATCCAATAAATGTTTTGAACAAAAACCCACTTATGGTTGCAGTACTTACCTCGACAATGCTGTCCTCTACTCTCATTCAGTTCTGTCCTCAGTTCTCTGGGTTGAACAACAACACACTATACCATGCCCTTTAGCCATGCAAATTCACACATTTACCCAAACTGCACCCATTTGTGGCGAGGCTCCTCCTAATAAACAGCAAAAAAATGGGACTAATCTGGTTGGAAAGGAAACACTATAATGTACAATTTTGAAGATCTAATGCATTGTTCATTAATTATAGTAACTTAACAAGTCAATGTCATTACATAGCACAGGCCTTGAAATTTCCACTCACCTGCTCGCATTGGCGAGTGGAAATTATGGTGGGGGCGAGTGTGTCCCCCCAGGGCAGTCTTGCTGAGCAGGCTAGGAACTCAGGGCTGGATCTGTCACTCGCACTGGGAGCCGTCAGACTGCTCAATAGTTGAGCAAAGTGAAAGCAAAGGAAGGAATGTGTGCTGTGCTCTCTGCCTCCCCCTAGAGTGCAGTACCAGCTCTGTGAGTGAAGGTAACGAAGTACTGCAACTTTTTATAGGGCTGTGTGTGTGTGTGTGTAATTGTATGTGTGTGTGTGTTTGTGTACGTGTGTGTGTATGTATGTACATGTATCTGTGTGTGTGTTTGTGTGTGTCTGTGTATGCATGTACATCTGTCTGTGTGTATGTACATGTGTGTATCTGTACATGTGTCTGCGTGTATGTACATGTGTCTGTGTGCATGTACGTGTGTGTGTGCATGTACGTGTGTGTGTGTGCATGTACGTGTGTGTGTGTGCATGTATGTGTGTGTATGTACGTACATGTGTCTGTGTATGTATGTACATGTGTATGTATGTACATGTGTCTGTGTCTATGTACATGTATGTGTGTCTGTACATGTGTCTGTGTGTGTGTATACATATGTCTGTATGTGTATGTGTGTACATGTGTCTCTGTGCATGTGTGTACATGTTTCTGTGTGTGTATGTGTATGTACATGTCTGTGTGTGTGTACAGGCGTCTCTGTTTGTGTGTGTGTGTGTGTATGTACATGTGTCTGTATGTAAACCTACATGTATGGGTGGTTTGGTCAGGTTCAGGATTAAGTGGTTATTATGGGTGGTAGAGTATGGGCCATTTGAGGTATTGCTGGGTTGGATAGTAGGTAGGATATGGTTGGTAGAGTTATGGTTTTGTGAGTGAAAGATTATGGGGGGTTATGGTTGTATGCAGTGCATGGTCTAAGTATGATGGAGTGTTTAGGGGGACATTAGAGGCCCTGATGTAATGTGGGGGGACTCTGGGGACCCTGATGTAATGTGGGTAACATTTAGCAGCGTCATATCATGAAATAATTTATGATGGCATGTTTAGGGGGGAAATAGGGGTGTAGCAGGGTAGGGGTTGGGTGGGGCAACTGGTGGCGAGTAACTCTTTAGGCCTGGCTAGTAGCTCAGGACTTGAAATTTTTAAGCCCTGACATAGCACAATGGGAAAAGTGAAGTCATAATCAAAATGTAAAAAAATCTGTTATTTGCACAATGCCATGTTAACTTATATGACTCAAAAATGCTGTTATATATTTCAGTGTATGTGTCATTTCAAAAGCATCACTTGAAGAAAAAAACTAAATATTTTTAATGCTGACTAAAGAGAAAAAGTAATAATTGTAACAGCATAGAGACATAATATAATGGTAATTTAAGTCCCTAATTCCAGGTATGGCAACTATAGGTATGTATGCACCAGGGGCAGACTGACCATTAGAGCACTCGGGCACTGCCCGAGGGCCCGGGGTCAGTAGGGGGCCCCATGAGATGCCCCTGGTACCTTTTCATGGGCTTTTTCATAGGCTTTTTTGGGTGAGGACACAGGGGCCCCATGATCCCCTATTGCCCGGGGGCCCCATGAGTTGTCAGTCCGCCCCTGGTATGCACCATACCTGTGAGATCCCTCTAGATGCTGGAGACCACTGTAGGAGGACCAACTACTACAGCAAGTGCCGGGTTCCAAGTCTCATGCTCAGTGGCAGCCCTGGTTAACACACGGGGTTGCTTGCTTGGCAAGGGCACCATTCAGAGAACACTTTGCATTTTCTCAAAGACAGCAAAGTGTTCTCTGATTGGATGAGGTGGAGATTGTGGAGATTGAGTAAATGCAAAGTGATCCCTTAAAAATGCCCATGCTGAGGACCTGAAAAGCTAATGGAGATCACTTTAGTAGCGGTGCCTAGTCCAGTGATTTCCAGCTTCCACTGGGATCCCACAGGTATGGCACATACATACAGTAGACATATTGGTCCAACCTTGACCAATGTAACTATGTAAATATTGCCAATTTGCTTTGAAGCTCAAATTCAGCTTTAACCACTTCCTTTCCAGTCCATGTACATAAACGGCCGGACGGGAGCGCTGCCAAAGCGGGTTGACATTTCTAAATGTCACCCGCATTCATTTGCCTGTGCGCGCTCCCTGGGAGCGCTGCACCGCGATCAGTGTCTGCTGTGTCGGGACCTCTGTGTGAGGTCCCGATTCATGTGATCACTGATTGGCCAATCAGTGATCACATGAACAGTAGTAAACAAGATGTCACTTCTGACATAATTGCTTACTACGTGTGAAATCTGTGAATGATCACAGAGGTCACATGGTACAAGGCTATTCACAACAGCCTTGAACCATGTGACAAGCTGTGACCAATCACAGCTCTCACAGTATTTCTCAATGGCTGCAAGAATGCAGCCAGAAAGGAGAAATGATTGCATTTACAGCCTTTATGGGTATAAAAGCAATCAGTGTAAAAAAAAAAAATAAAATCTTTATCACCCCCAGAAGTAGTACAGTGTCAGTATGGTGACACTGTACTGCTAGGGTGACAGTATGTAAAAAACAAAAACCATAAATGATCATATAAACAAAATAAAATAAAAATGTAAAAACACTTTTTTTACAAATTATTATTTTTGGTTATAAACTAATTTGGGTTTTTTTTACTAAAAAGATAGATGAATATATTTTGGCCAAGATTTATGAAGAAAGATTATTTATTTGCAACATTTGATAAGAAAAACACTTTTTTTTTTTCAAAATGTTTGGACTTTTTCAATTATATAGCAAAAAAAAAAAATCCCAGTGGTGAATAAATACCACCAAAATAAAGTTTTATCTGTCTCAAACAAATGCTAAAAAATTGTCATTCAAAGTGTGATAGCACTGAAAGCTGAAAAGTGGCCTGGACTGGAAGGGGGTGAAAGTGTCCGGACTTGAAGTGGTTAAAGGAGATTGACAATATAGAAGGTGAATACTGGTGGGACCATTCACAATCCAGAAAAACTAAAGGGTTTAAGAGGAGGTTGGTAATCCTAAAGCCTCAAAAATATGTTTTTCTCAGTGGAGTGTCTCTAATATAAACGCCTGTTTCCAAAATTGAATTATTGGTCCTTTCCCTTGTACAGTATATTAATTATAGTTGATATTTCTAAATGTTTCTTCCTCTTGGTGTGTCATGCAGGTCACTCATTGTCTAGTACTTGAGCTAAGTGAACAGGAGAGACAGTGCCACCTTTAACTCTACTGTGTTGCACGGGGAGAGAATGGTGGGAACCTTCAGCTGCCAAGATGCAAACGCCAAATATTCTAAATAGTATGTGGTTTGCAAAACATCAGTCTATAGAAATGCATCTATACCCCAGAACATGAAACCAATGGACACAAAACGCGTTGTCAAGGCAAAGGGCAAAGTTTCAGATTGCTCACCATGACAGAGAACAAAGCTAATTGTTAGGGGCTAATGTATCAGCTGAAACATAATTTTGTGTGAATAGTTTAATATCCTGAAGGCTTATTATTCTTTTGGGTCCTGTTTATATTTTGCTGTTCCTGCTTAGTCCCCCTCTATGACTGAGGCTAACACGTATTAAAACAAGCACAATTAAATCAGTTTATGCCAGCAATAATATGATAACCATCTCTCCGAGGAACTTTTCTTTTCTTTTCCCTTCCACTAATATTGTACATCAGTAAAGCATAAAAGTCATGGCATTTCAGGGAACATTTTGTTTTTCAGGCCAGTAATGAATATGATCTGATTAATTCAATTAGTGAAAATTGCTAGTCGGTACTGTAATTTCGATGGAATGCTGCAGAAACATGTCATAATACTAAAATGTAGAATATGTAAGGATTGTATGTCAACTCAGATGTTGTGACCACAGCTGCACTGCACTTTACCTATGGCAGTTATCTTTTAGGTACACTTTATGAGCGGGACCCAAAGACTTTCACAGACCACAGTGTGTAGGTATGAACAGTGGTGTATATATGTTTTTTTGCTGCCCTAGGCAACACAAAAATCGATGCCCCCACAAAGAGAGCCTGACATTGACCAACAACAACCCTGCCTCCCACCCATGAGATCCCTTCACTACCACTGCCGCCCATACACCAGTCACCATCCTCCATGGCGACAGAGAGAAAGACACTCACCTTCACAGCTCTGGACATACCCGGGAACGAGAGTCGGGCTGTGCATACACTGTCATAAAACCCGCAGCCTCTCTCGGAACCCACCAGGTCCCCATGCCACGTGTGTCCCTTCTTCTGTCCCTTCTTCTGAGGGGCAGTACTGCCTCCCTTGAAAAATGCCGCCCTAGGCAAATGCCTTGTTTGTCTTGTGTTAAATAAACCCCTGGGTATGAAGGCTTTCTAGATTTATTCAGACTACAGTTCTAATTGTGACTTATCCCTTCCTGAGACCTCTATGTCTGGTCTGAATGTAGAGAACAACTGCAGACAATCTTCTTCTGACAGCTGAACTCAACCAAACGCTTGGCATCCACGAATATCTTTATTGCATTGGGCAGCACAGTGGCTAAATGGTTAGCACTTCCACCTGGCATTACTAGGGTCGTTGGTTTGAATCCCAGCCACGGCACCACCTGCCTGGAGTTTGCATGTTCTCCCTGTGCCTGTGTGGGTTTCCTCCAGTTTCCTCCCACACTCCAAAGACATGCTGGTAGGTTAATTGGCTCCTGTCTAAATTGGCCCTAATATGTGTAAGTGTGAATGTGAGTTAGGGACCTTAGATTGTACACCCTTAAGGGTTAGGGACTGATGTGAATGTGCAATATATGTGTAAAGTGCTGCATAAATAGATGGTGCTATATAAGTACCTGAAATAATAATAATAATAATTGCATGCAGAAGGATTGAAACAAACAATATGATCCACTAGATGTTGCAGTGTTTGATGGTCAAAAGGAATGTTTCTTTTTGAACATCAATGTAGTTCTTGCAGAAAAAATATAGGAATTTTCAATGAGGAAGAAAGGAAGGAAGTTACATCATATGGAAGAGAAGGATTACAAAAAATGTAATGTAGGGACCAGGCTTTTTCCGACACTTTTTTGTTCACATGTAACAATCAGTTTTTTTTAAAATAGAAAATTACTTAGAACACCCAAACATTACATTATTTTTTTTAAAGCAGAGGCTCTAGAGAATAAATTGGTGGGTTTTGCAATTTTTTATGTCGCACAGTATTTGTGCAGCGGTTTTACAAATGCAATTGTTTGGGAAAAAATACACTTTTTTTAATTTTAGTGAAAAAAAAAAAACACAATACATAACCCCATTTTTGAATGTAAGGACCAGGCTTTATCTGACACTTTTTGTTCACAAGTAAAAATCATTTTTTTAAATAGAAAATTACTTAGAACACCCAAACATTACATTTTTTTAATTTTAGTGCAAAAAACCACAATACGTAAACCCATTTTTTGTAAAAATATAAAAGATGATATTATGCTGAGTAAATAGATACCAAATTTGTCATGCTCTGAAATTGCACACACCTGTGCAATGGTGACAAACAACGTAAATTTTACTATCCATAGGTGATGTTTAAAAGCCTTTACAGATAATTATTTTAGATTTACAGAAGAGGTATGGTGCATAAATTACTGGCCATGATCTGACGTTCATGGTGATACCTCACATGTATGGGACGATTGCTGTTTGCGCGAGTGAGTGACCGATGCATGCATTCGCCTTTGCGCATGAGCACAGGAGGGGGGGGATGGGGGCACTTTAATTTTTACAAATTTTTACACTGCTGCTTTAATTTTTTTTTTTTATCACCGTTATTGCTGTCATTGTAAATGTAAACATCACTGTGACAGCGATAGGCATGTGACACGTACTGTTTATGGAGGCATCTAGGGTCCCCAAATCTCTTCGTTGCACTTAAAAGCATTCAAAACACTAAGATCTGTGTTTTCTAATGCTTTTGAGTTCATGAAAATGGCGCAGTTGACATCTGGTTAAACCAGAAGTCATGACAGGTTATTGCTTCCCGTTTACCATAGTAGAGAGTCAGTCAAAGCCGAATCTGGCTTTGTTCGGTTCTCCGACCAGCCAGTGGTCACACCGGCTGGTCGCTCAGGTCTCAACGCAATGGGATGGGAGATCCCAAGCAAGCTGCGTAAGGTGACAGGACTAAGCTGCTCCAATTGCTAATACAAGAGAGCCGACTGCCGGCTGTAAAAACGTTACTGGGATGATGCCTACAGCTGCAGGCATCATTCAGGTACAACCCCTTGAAGGTCGGTGAGGTACCAAGTACGTGACAAGAAGTGGGTAAAAACTGATCACAGGGTGTTAGCAATACCATAAATGATTAACTTAGTGAAACAACACAAGAGATAAACATAAGTGCAATTGCATTGCCGTATAACTGCTGGAGGCAGCACCGCTCTAGCCTATCCAAGAGAGGTAGGTTAGGATATAAATGCACAAAACGATTTTAGTCAGTTCTATTTCAATGGATCAATTTTAGATTTTTTAAACTGATGTTGGATTTTTTTCTTTACTATCCATAATCCTTATTTTCTAAATGCACTTTTATTGCAGAGTTCACTGAGGACACTGATGTCCCAGGATATTATACATTTTTTTTTTAAGAACAGTGCTGTTTGCCCATCAACTGAAACTCCATACTGTAGTCGGGGGAGAGGGATGAGTCACTTCCCAGGCTTATTCAATTTTATGTGTACTTTTTTACTTGAGCTATTAAGCCCTGTAAGCAACAGAGCAGCTAAGAGTAGACAGGTAGACATGTAAAAAGGAGACCAGAGCTCCACTGGCTGACCGTAAATAGAAAAATATGAAAATATCTACTGTCAAAAAAATTATGTATTGATTTCTGAAAATTACAAATGAAGAAAGAAAATATATGCAAAAACACTATGCACTGAATTTAAACAGGCAGTCCATGACATGAGAAAGAGTCAAACATTTTAATAATGGAGGTTCAAGCAGGGGGGAGGCAGCTACGTAACATTTGCACCACGGAAAGAGACAGGAACATGAATCTCTGAATAAGGGAACAGAAGTTGTCAAGGCCAAAACACAAAGCAGAATTAAAGGCCAACTCAAGGATATTGGTAACCCGCCCCTGCTGGTAAGAAAAAAGCAAAGCTATGCAAATGCTCATTTGCTTATGTAGCTAGGGGAGCTAGAGTCCCAGTTGATAGAGGGGAGGGCTGAGTGTAATAGGGCCTGGGTGTAATAGCCAGAAGGTCAAATTGGGGTTAGGAGCTGAGAGGCTCTGCAGCCTAGCCCCTCTGGAATTTCCTCCTGTTCTATGGCTTTGGAGGAAGGCAGCATGCTCAGATTCACACCCATACACCTGCCCTAAAAACTGCTCTCAACACCC